ACAGTTTTACTCAAATTACTGTATTTTTCGCTCCATAAGACGCACCTACGTTTTAGAGGCAGAAAATTGGGGGAAATAAAAATTATGAACTAATGGACTGCAGACATAGTACAGGAGATGACCAGAGACTGTGGACAGCACAGGAGATGACTGCAGACCTTTGGAAAGGGGAGGGGGGGAGCGGGTACCTGAATTTGACAGGTACCCGCTCTTACTTCCGCGGAGTTGTTCTTTGATCTTACCTGTTCCTCTATCCAGCCGCGCGCTGTCTTCCCAGCTTCTGTAGTGTCAGCGCTCGGCATGACAGCCGGGTGCCAGTGCGTATGAGTGAGAAGCACTTGAACTTTGTGATTGGTCCGGCAGCTTCTGGGATCTGTCATGTGTCCTAGGTACCGCCTTACCATTCACAAAGAGCACTGCTTCTTGCGCATGCGCACTTGGCAGCCGGCTGTCAAGCCCAGCGCCCACACTACAGAAGCCGGGAAGACAGCGCGCCGCTGGATAGAGGTACAGGTAAGGTCAAAAAACAACTCAGCGGAAGTAGGAGCGGATACCTCACAAATTCAGGTACCCGCTCCCCACAGGTCAGCAGTCATCTCCATAAGGTCCCGCTGCAGAGCTGAGCGGCCGGCCCAATATTCTGACACGGCGGCAATGGAAATACCGGACCGGCCGCTCCATATGACGCACTGACATTTTCCCCCCTTTTTTTGGGGGAAAAAAGTGTGTCTTACGGAGCGAAAAATACGGTAGTTGATGCAAAAATGAATACACCCCACAACAAAAACAACTCCATCTATTATTTTATATGACCTCCATGATTTGTAAGGATAACCCCAAATCTTCTAGGCATGAAATGAACAAGTTGGCAACATATTGTAACATCTTTTTCCATTTTTTAAGAATGACCTCTTTTAGAGCCTGTATGCTGGATGGAAAGTGATGCTCAACCGCTTAGAATTCCCCATGTGTTTGATTGGGTTCAGATCAGGAGACATACGACATACTTGGCCACTGAATCACTTTCACAATTCTTCTTCAGAAATGCAACAGTGGCTTTAGATGTGCATTTTGGATCATTGTCATGTTGGAAAAGTGCACCCAGTGATGGTAGCATCTTCTTTCAACATAGAGCAGTACATCTGAATTCATGATACCAGCAATGAAATGCAGCTCCCGACACCAGCAGCAGTCATACAGCCCTACAGGACACTGCCACCACGTTTCACTGTAGGCACCATGCATTTTCCTTTGCACCACCATACAATTTTGAAGCCATCAGTTCCAAAAACATTCATCTTAGTCTCATCACTCCAGAGTAGAGTCCCAGTAAAATTCTAGGTGGGCTTTTTTGTGTATGGGATTTAGCGGAGGCTTCCTTTGTGGACAACACCAATGCATGCCATTCCTCTGCAGTGTAGGCCGTATTCTATCATGGAAAACAATCAGCCTGGTTTGGCTTTCTACTTCTTTAGCCAACTGCAGTGAACTTGCATGGCAATTGTCTTCAACCCTTCTCATCAGAAACTGCTCCTGTCAAGATGTTAATGTTCGTGGACAGCCTAGACTTCTGAGATGGTTGCAGTTCCATCTTTGTATCACTTTTGCTACAGTATTCTGACTGATAAGTAAAGCTTTGCTGATGTTCTTGTAGCCTTCCCGTTTCTTGTGACATTTCGCTTCCATCTGGTGCCATCGCTGACAGCATGAAATGGGAAGGGTTTTTCTTTTAAGTAATGTCCTTTTATAATCAACTGCCTACTGGACACCTGTTTAATAATTACTCACCTGTAGTTGAATTCTTGTTAATTAGGATTTTGTGGTCTAACATTTAGCTTCGCTCTTAAGGCCTCATGCACACAGGACGTAAAAAAAAAAAAAAAACCCTCCTAGAAGCCTTCCTCCTGGCATCAGCGTTTTTGCAGAAAAATGCTTGACACTTTTACTAGTAAAACGCTTTTACAAGCATTTAGGCACATTTACAAGCGTCAAGTCCTTGGGTGTTAATTCATTTAATTGGCTAGAACGATAATTTATACTGGCCATTGACAATTACCATGCCTAGCGTTTAGACACATCAAGTGTTTATTCTGCCTCCAAGGTAATATCTTGATGTGGTAGTATGCATCACATACTAGCACATTATAAGACTTGCCTTACAAAGTCCTCCAACAGCACACTGTCAGAGCTGACAGGCTTCCATCTGTATCTTCCTTCCAGGTCTGAGGATAATCTCAGTCCTGCAAATGTGCAAAGAAATCATGGCAGCAGCACAGAGCTCCAAAAGGGACAGCATAAGTATGTAGTCCCTGCAGAAAGTATGTGCCGGTGATATCCCAGCTGCAGAAAACATTAAATAAATACTAAACCGTGCGTGTTTAGGAGATAAAGCTTTATCTGTAGGTACAAGTTTCTAAGCCACCCTCTCAACCAGGGTGCCTTGATGTTTTCTTTAGAAGTGCCTCAGGAAAAATGTCTAAAAAAAAAAAAAAAAAATTCCCAAAACTTGTATACAAACCAGCAGGTGGAATTAGTCTGCCTTTTAGTTACACAAAGTCACAGGTTTTCATTGTGCACCATTATGACCTTCTAGCTGACAACCAATGACAGTTGAGGACAGCATCCTAGTTTGACCCTCCCCTGTCCCTCTTTGGCAGTGCTGGGATCACATTATCTCAGTGATGGAGGAAAAATTGAGAGAGAAAACACTGAAATACTACTCAGTACCAGTGTGCAAAAAGTGTGTTTGCTTTGGAAGAATAAAATCATCTGTTGGGTGTCCTACATGTGTGGATGTTGCTGTATAAAAAAAAAAAAAAAAAAAAAAAAAAAAAAACAGTCTTGAGGCACCCTATTTTACAATGGGGTGCCTCAAGACTGTCAATTTCAAAGGGTGCCTTGACTGAAAAAGAAGGTTGAGAAAGTGTTCTAAGCCATGTTTACTACTGCTTTAAAACAGAACACAGCCAACATTAAGCTGTAGTAGAAAGCTGTTGAACGGTGTTCCTGCTTAGCATGCCACCATTTATAGTCTGTGCCAGAAATTTTGAACCTAGTTTCCTCTTGCAATTATTATTATTTTTTTTTTTTTTACATCTGATACATGTACTGTGGAATATATACAATTATTCCACAACACATGCACAAGTAAAGCTTGCATAAACATTCCACATGTGCAAAATTATTCACCCTCCCAAAATGACCCAATTCATAAATGGCTGCTAGTAAACATCAAATTCTCTATAAATAATACTGGTTTCCCTTTACAACTGCGTAACCCTACACATATAGAAAGTACAAATGTATACCTACTTTTTGTGTCATATTTTACTGAATGTTTTGGAATGTAAGCTTTAGAAAAACAGTTATATACAGTGTAAGTGAAATTGTATGAAACATTCCTCAAAGTGGACATCAAAGAAAGAACATACATTAACCACTTGCCCTCCATTGGATTTACCCCCCCTTCCTGACCAGGCCATTTTTGTAATACGGGATGTGTTACTTTACAATTGCACAGTCAAGTAATGCTGCACCAAAATGAAATGTCCTTTTCCACCCACAAAATAAAGCTTTCAGTGGTATTTGATCGCCGTTTGTTTTTTGCACTATAAAAAAAAAAAAAAAAAAAAAAAAAAAAAAAAAAAAAAAAAAAAAAAATCAAATTTAGGCCAAAAGATATTTTGCTACATGTCAAGAAAAAAAAAAAAAAAAAAATCCCGATACATGTAAATTAATTGGTTTATGTGAAAGTTACAGCTTCTACAAATGGCAGTATACACACTGGATTTTTTTTTATACTAGTAAATGGCAGTGATCAACAACTTAGTGGGACCTTAGGCGGGCATTCTGACACTGGGTGGGAACGGGCTGCCACTGACATCTCCAGTGACACTAATAGTGATCAGTGCTAATAAAAAGCACTGACTGTACTAATGACACTGGGCAGTTAGGGGTTAACAGTGTGCAGTTTGCATTTTACTTGGGAGACATGCTGCTCTCTGCACATGCTGCAGAGAGCAGCATGTCCATGGTGACAGGAGAAAGATGTTTTACACACAGATCTCTCCCCTCAGTCCTGCTGACGATCACCAGTCGGGACCTGGTGATTGACATATACACCAGCAGTAGCAGTGCACGCCCCCTACCCGGAAATACAAAATCACTTTTTTTTGTGTGATTTTGCACAGCAGAGCCACCCTGCAGCAGTATATCTGCTATGGGGCAGCTCTTAAGTGGTTAACTATTTTTTTCCTGCTTTTTTTTAGAGTTTAAATTGGTTGTCATTTGACCATCCCATCTGACCTGGTGCAGTTCACTCTGGAAAAGGTGGTTATTTTGGAGCAGATGGACAGGGAGAAAACTGCCCGCACACTTGCTAAATTCACCACACAAACTGCTTGGGATTTCAGTGCAGCAGACACTGTTACCAGCTCAAAAAGAGGTTATGAGCACGCTGGATTTAGGCAGTAAAAACAGTACTTTTCTGCAGCATTTTAACAGAAAAAAAAAAAAAAAATGGTAAGTGTGCATATATTGTAGAGATGTACGGATTTATTTTTATTTTGCCATATAGCAAAAAGAAAAAAAAAAAACCCACCTACCTCAGGAAGGAAGTGACAAAGATGCATATCAGTATACATATCTAGATTTTCTATGTTGTGGGCTTAACTTGTGTTCTCTGATGTCCACTGCACTTGTGTACACACACACACTTTTCCGTTTATTTGAATTAAACCATGCCTGAAAAAAAAATAGTTTTCATAGCATACACCTAAAATATTTCCAGCTAGCCATGAAAGGTAAAAGCCTACATTTTAAACTTTCCTACTGCCAACACTACAGAACACTTTCCTGCTATCCTGACCCAAATAAAAAAAAAAAAAAAAAAAAAAAGCTCAACTTCGATTAAAAACACAAAGGGATCACATTTAACAGGTAAAGACTTTAATAAAATGTTCAGGGTTTAATTAGATACAGACAGTATCACAAGTCACTTGTTAGTGTGGAAGCTCATGGTGCACAAGCTTGTAGTGGGAGCCACACTCTGGACATCGATTCACTTCTCCCTCATGGATCCAGAAGTAGATAACTGCAGAATTGTCTTCTTCACCTACAAAAAGGACAAAAATATTACATGTCTGCAGAAGTACATTAGAGAATCATACTGTGATGAATGTGGTGCCCTACCCTTCTCTCCAACTTGTGACAAAGGACAGCCAATCTCACAATGTACTGTCACTGGCATAACAATGCCACCCTCAGCTGCATCCTGCATGAATATTTTTCCAGCTTGCAGGATCACAATCTAGGTGCCAGCAGCCTGAGAGCTATTGAAGTTTGTCACTTGGTTAGGTTAATTACGCAATTAACTCTTCAAACTGCAACCAGATAGCTTTGGGACTATCAGCCCTTCACAATATTAGCAAGAACAAATGTGAACAAAAGGTCTAACACACTCACAGACAGGTATATTCAGAGGATTATATACAGTAGCACTCTTGGAGAGACAAGGATTCTTTAGTTTGCATTAAAAGCCTTATGCAGGCCAAAGACGGGTCGTTTTATCGGCCGATTTTTCGTCTGCACGAATAAAAAAAATATATATATATATTCATGCCGTTAGTGGGGCCAGCCCGTCGGCTGTATTTCGCAGATCTCCCCATTTATTTTTATTGGTCATGCTGGAAAATCCAGCACATTGCTGGCAGCATCGGCAACGGGGCCGACCGATTTTTCATTTATCGGCCGATAAATGGCTTAAGATCATTTTAAAAACACTTTTCAAAATAGGGTTTATTAATAAAAAAAAAAAAAGTCAAAAAATGGTGCAATTACAATATTCATTGAAAGGGATACTACAAATAGAGAATAATAAGGCAACAGAAATAAAAAAGAAAGGAGTTAAAAAGGCAGAATACTTGCAATGTCATTGGCTTTAGCAGAGTCCAATTGTCCAAGCAAAAATGTTGCCATGGCTCTCTTGGGTGTTCCTTGGTTGATGTTAAACTTTGATATCAAAAGGGGTGTGGTGACAGAACTGACCAATCATCCGGTTTAGGGGATGGGTGCTTGGAGGTCACCAAGTTTATGACCATGTCCCAACTACATTTTCATTCTAAACTTTCAGAATGGGCAGGTGGTATTCTAGCAACTGGCAGATTAATATCCAGAATTATATTTCGAACCCAGGGATACCAAACATAGCATACCTTGTCACCCAGGAGGCAGGAAACTGCTTTCTGCCCTTTCATATGTGCTAGGGTAGTCATGTATGACCTTGATTTGGTACGATATTCCCTATTCAAAATATATACCTAATATGTGTCCTGTTCCTGTTGAATTCAATCAATTGTATGTGGAATTGTTAGGTTGTGGAATAGATGTTTTATGGAGTTTTATGATAGGGCAGAGTTAAGGGTTTTTCATGGTTTGTGGAAACAAACATCCTGCCAAGACTAAGTAGCTGTTTACAGCTCTGGCCAGGTCTGGACTCTGTCCATTTGTATTTTAGTTAAGAGGCTCTTTTGAAGTACTTTAAAAACGTACAGCTACAAATTCCACATATTTCAGGAGGGAGGAAAGGAAGATCATTGCTCATGAAAAACAAAAATGGATGTTGCGTACAGGTTCCATGTCTCTATTGCGCATAATCGTTACACATACTCCCTCAGCTAAGCTTACATTTATAGTAGAGTGAAATTACACAGCATGAAACTGCAGTTAGCACGGAGGTCTCACCACAAACCTTCAGGCGATTCCTCCAATCAGCAGCCACCTACAAATTAAAGTGATTCTAAAAAGGGTAAAGTAAAAAAATATTATAAAATCACATTATACTTACCTATGTGCATTGGTTTTGGACGGAGGAGCCCCGATCCGCTTCTTTTTGGGTCCCATGCCGGTGGTCATGGCTCCTCCCCATGCTCTGTGCTTCCAATAGCAAGCCTCTTGCTATGGAGGCACTCAAGCAGGCTCGCTCCTGTGAATGGACATTGCCAATTCACACAGTGCGGCTTGACCCTGCCCCCCACTGCCCTCATTGGGTTCATTGGCTGTGATTGACAGCAGCAGGAGCCAATGCCTACCGCTGCTGTGTGAGCCAATGAGGAGAGCATAACCAAGGTGAACCGCTGCTCATGCACATCACTGAATCAAGAAGGGGCTCAGGGGAAAGCTGCATTCAGGTTTTTTACTGTAATGCACAAAGGTAAAAACCTTCTGCCTTTAGAACCACTTTAAGATTCACTTTGAATTGCTACCTTCACATTCTTTAAATCTTACCCAACTACTTTCACTTTTTTTTTTTTTTTTTTTTTTTTTTTTTTTAAAAACACACATTTCCAGGTAAAATGGCAACAGCTGAAGTCTGTCTACAACCAAAATGTTTGCTTTCATTTTGGATAAAATGAGAGATTGACTTAGAAGCGTGTTAAACCCTGTCAGGCTTTTTATGGTCTGTATCCTATTGTTAAGACTTCACTTTATAACAGGAAGCCCTTTTAGACAGTGGTCACAAAAACAGACTGCTCCCATTAAAGATTCTCTATTGCCGTTCTGGAGATCAGGGGTGGACTGACAACTCATGGGGCCCCCGGGCAATAGGGGATCATGCGGCCCCTGTGTCCTTGCCCAAACTGAAAAAAACCTATGAAAAAGGTACCAGGGGCATCTCATGGGTCCCCCTACTGACCCCGGGCCCTCGGCCAGTGCCCGAGTTTCCAAATATTCAGTCCACCCCTGCTGGAGATTTTCCTCACTTTTCTGTACAGGTGACAAATGGTAGCCAGGACAAGATTGAATCTCCCCAGTATGGGACACAGACCGCAGCATCATTAGTTCCAACCCTTCCCCAATCCATCAAAAACTAAGTTTTGGCTTTTCACTTTAACGATTTACATTTTGTGCAAGACCCAGCTTAATCGGGTCTAAAATTACAATGTTTAATAATTCTAACACAGGTGATGTGTTCTGTTTTGGTACAGATGTTTCTTTTGCTTCCTTTCCTCCAGTTATTTGGAAGACTTCCCATAAAGAAAAATTGCTGCAAATAGAGCCCCACAGACTACATGAACACAAAAAAACCAAAACCACACTACTTGCATATGGTACCCAACCAAGGGAGGAGCGGAATTATTGTAATTAAATGCCAGCTTGTAAAAGCAAACTGATGGACTGCAATATATGTGCTGCCAGATTGTGATTCTATAGTGATGGAAGGTATTACAAATAGCCAATTAACGACACCTCTTCTAAGTACACCCACACATGCTGTGTTGCAATTTCAATCCAAAATTATGCCCCTTAACCTTCAGACTATTCCTTCATCTCATCTGGCTGAATATAAAACTGGAGAGGACAAGAAGGTATATGGATCAATTTATTGCTGTAGATTGAAGAAAAAAAAAAAAAAAAAAACACAAACAAAAAAAAAACAAACTGATTTTAGACTTAAGTTACCAAGCAATGCAGCCTAAAAAAATGTGGTCACTACTGTATAGTTCCATATTTGACAATGTCTTTCTAGCAACCAGATTTTGGCCTGTTACATTTCTAGCACACACTGCTGGAATACAGACTTTCAAAATTCATATTAAGCTGACAACTCATATGTCAGAGATGATACCAATACTTACAAATGCAACCAACAAGTCTCTGTTTGTTGATAGAGGGCACAATAATGGGATGTTCCTTCGTCCCTGGAGGTCCTGAATTTGACTGAGTGCTGTATGGATCCTTGAAATTTAAAGAAAAAAAAAAACCTAAAAATTTGTATTGAATAAAATAATCAATGTAGAGCACCACTGTCAAGTAATAAAACACCATCCATGTTCATACTGTATTCCTCAGAATTCCAACAAAATATAAAAAAACAAACAAGTTATCTTTCCAGATCATTTTACTGGAAAAAAAAAACAAAAAAAAAACAAAACATGAGTGAACTTAAAGCTTTTTAGTAGTCTAAGTTACCTGTCCTTTCTTCATAGCCAGCAAAATTTTCCTTTCAAGTCCAGTGGCCTGCTCTTCATCAGTGGGAATACCTTCAGAGAGATATTTACATTTTAGACTAAACAATCTCATTAAAGCATAACCAACCACAACCATTTTTTTTGTTTTTATACAACACAAAAAACGTTAACTGAAGCCAGCCATCAAATATGTATGACTGCCAAAACCTGTTCTTTAACCACTTCCCGACCACCCTATAGCAGAATCTCTGGGTAGGGGGCGTGTGCGCTGCCCTACTCGTGCCACCATTGGTGGCTACAGCTGTCAATCACTAGGTTCCGGCCAGAGATTGCCCACCAGCACCCACTGAGGAACATCAAGGGAGAGGTCTGAATGGAAACAATACAGATCTCTCCAGTCAGCACCAGCATGCTGCTTTGTCTTGCTCTGGCCTCTTTAGCCAACCATGAAAGTGGGGGCAACATTTGCTAGGGAGTTTATACCAGATAGAGGGAACAGCATTCTCTGTCTTCACGTGGTGATTTAGTTTGAAGATTTGGAAGAATCCCTTGGTGGATAAGAAGTAGCTTTTAGACTCTTTGGACTAGACACAGCTTTCACTTTTCATGTTCAATAGATTTTCACTTATACATTTATGCACTACTGGATAGCTTCTTTTGAGTGCCCATTTATATGTTTTGTTTGATATTTTGTGATGTAGCAGCATTTTGGTAGTCATCCATTTGTGTGTATTTATACAGATTTGATTTATTCTTCATGCATCCAGCGCAGTTCTTACACCTCTCTTACATTCACATTAGGAACTGCAAGTGAATCACACAGAAATGATGTATTAAAAGAGGTAGAGACTCCAGAGAGATTTTACCCCTGTACAAATCATTAGTAAGGCCTCATCTGGAATATGCAGAGAAAGGCAACCAAACTAATATGAGAGGCATGGAGGAGCTCAGCTATGAGGAAAGATTAGAGGAACTAAATGAATTCTCTCTTGAGAAGAGGAGGTTAAGGGGGATATGATCAAACATGTATAAATACATCAGTGGTTCATATAGTGAACTCCGATTACCTCAGGGTGAAAAACTCTACAGAGGACAAGGGGGGCACTCTTTACGTCTGGAGGAAAAGATTAAGGCCCCTTTCAGATGGGGCCGACCAGTCAGCAGATCCACCTGCTCAGCAGGGGATCTCTCCGCTGATCCCTGCTGAGCAGGTGGATGACAGGTCCATGTTTGCTCTGCTGCCGCAGAGCGGACACAGACACTGCCTGTGTTTCCATCTGACTGCTATCTAATCCAATCCACCAGACGGATGGGGAACGGATCTCCATCTATGTTTGGAGTTCAGGATCGGATGCTGGCGAGTGTCAGTGGACACTTGTCCGCTGACACCCGTCGGTCCAGAGGTCTATGGATGGTCTGATCAGGTTCGCCTTTTTACCTGATGATCCAACCAGTAAGCGTCTTTCAACTACATTTAACAGCCCAAGCTATCAAGCAAAGGTGGCAATTGGAGTGTAGAGACAAAAAACGGACAGCTCCCCTTTTATTTATGTGAAACCTTTACCCCCAAAAGGAGAAAAAAAAATTGCTGTAACTGGCTAAAAAACTGTTAGCTGAAGTTGGACTTCAGATTGTCAGTCACCAAGTTCATCTAAATGTACTAATCCATCCAACACCACCTTCTCAAAGCAGATTTACTTTTTCAAGCTTCGGTCGCACGCTTCAAGTGGCCTGATGCCCAGGTATGAACAGGCACCATAAGGTACTATATACTGGGCTGTTCAGCAGGCTGCTGTCTCATGTTTATTGGGTGGTGCCTTACGTTACAAAACCAGCCAAACAGAAAAACAACCCACAACTTTATTTAACTGTTGCAAATAAAAATTTCAATCATTTCTATGCAGTGACAGGCACTTACATGAGGCAAAGTGTAGAATAATGTGGCACATAATGGTGTGAACAAGCACAAAAAAAAAAAAAAGTTGAGACTTATGATTGAAATGTGAGTGGCTTAGTGGTTGGCACTTCTGTCGTAGGCCCCATGTACATAGGACACTTCTGAATGATGGAAAATGACTGCTAGGTTAAAAAAGTCTGTTTAGCTGAGTTTTCATAACGTGTTTACATTTGGAAGAGTTTTTTTTTTTTAAAGAGAAGCACAGGAGAAGCTCCCAAATGCCCAGAAGTTGTAAATTATTAACGGTTTCAGAGAAATACAGAGAGTAGAAGCAGAGACAGCAGTATGTGTTGAGATTAGCTTAGGTGTGAGTTGCTCATTAACATTTCTTTTGTTTCCAAGGGTGGGAAAGGTGTCTGGTGGAGGGAGTCATTAAGGCCACCTGGCAGGGGGTCTTCAGGAGGAATTTGAGGTGTGAATGGACATTAACATATCTTGTTTCCAAGGGTGGGAGAGGTCTGAGGTGTGAATTGGTCATTACAATGTGTGACAAGCTTCCTAGTAACATCCTGTGGTCAGTGTTTTGTCCATCTGAGTACTTTGAAAACGCTTTGCATGCATTTTTCATGATGAAAAAAGGCTCTGGACAGCATCGGGAACTGGAAGAGTCAAAAAAAAAAAAAAAAAATTCAAATGCAACCGCTTATAAAATGCGATTTACCACGTTTACAGGCGTTTTGCATTTGAGACGCTGATAAAAGACTGAACGCAAGTTCTCTGCGTTCAAAATTGACTGTAAACTCAAATGCCTGTAAACAAAAATGTGTACATGGACACATAGGAAAATAGGGCAAGTTCATGGGCTGCTGAGAAAAAAAAAAAAAAAAAACCCCAAAAAACCGCTGAACAGCTCTTAAACGTGAGCTTATCAACTGCGGTGTACATGAGCCCTTACAGCACTGGGGTACTCAGTTCAGCTCCCAGTCAGGACACCATCTACATGTTCTTCCTGTACTTCTGCAGGTTTCATCCAACCAGGAAACAGCTTCTTTAAGTTTCACAACACAAAGAAAAGGCATCCCCCACTAAAGTATTGGGGTACCCTTTGTCAAAATATTTGTCTATGAGAAATTGGCTATGAGTGATGTAACCTTGTTCTAGTACAGTTTTGTTTGAGGCGGCAAAATTGACTTTTGGGGATATTGTTTACCCAACAGGGATGATGGCAGCTCTTCTAATGTAAATAGGAGTTGCCCGCTGTGGGTTTGGTGTAGTTTTGGGAAAAGATTGTATTGGCATCATGGCAAAGTTCCAGATCTAAAAACCTAGTTTGTCTGGATCACAAACTGATGTGAAAGACAAGCCCATGTCGCTAACCGCTTCCCACCCGGCCTATAGTAAAATGACGGCCGGGGCGAGACTCTCATCCCTCCAGGAAGGCATCATATGACTTCCTTTCCCAGACCGTGCTGTCCGCAGGTGTGGCGAGACCTGTCACCGGATGTGTACCTCAGACACGGCCCATGAAAGATCTGTGTACCGGCCCCGTTGCCAGTACCATGTGACCAATCACAGCAGGCCACATGACAGTTGTACACAATGCATGGCTTCCTTTCATGCCATCCATTGTATACAAGTGTATCTGGCTGTGAATGGTCACAGTAATCACATGCACAGGCTGGGCCAATCATAGCCCATCTGTGTCATGTGATTAGCCGTGGCCAATCACAGCTAATCACAACAAAAAAACCTGAATTAATCGATTTCATTCAGTCAAATGCTTGTTTATAGCAAAGAAATTATTTGCTATAAGCAGTCAAAAAAACAAAAAAAAAAACAAAAAAAAGACGATCACTTCCCCAAAGTGGTACAATGTTACTATGGTAACATACTACTGTGGTCATAGTGTAAAATGAAAAAAAACAATCTTGCCACAAAAGAAAAAAAAAAAAAAAAAACTACTTTCTTCCCATACTGGTCACTAGTGCCCTGATCACCACCACACCACATATGATGACTCTGTACTGCACTGGTGACAGTAGGTTAACAAAAAAAAAAAAAAAAAAGTGACCAATTTTTTTTCATTTTCCAAAAAAATGACAACTTTAATAAACTCCCCATGCCTCTTATGAAATAGTCGGACTATCTACTTTGCAAAAAGGGGTCATTTGGGGGATATCTGTCCTGTTCTGACATTTTTGGGGCTCAAGAAATTAGATTGGCTGTCAATAATTCAGGATTTCCTTGATCAATGAAGGTCCACACAATGATACAGAGCTAGGCAGAAGAAATCCACTAGATGGCAGAAAATAATCACGGCTCCACCAAAGAAAACACTGCTCCTCCACTGCACATCAACGATATCTGAGAAAAAAAGATGCTCCCCACTGAAGTAAATTACTGTTGGGACAGAGGGAGACCAGCAGCTAGGAATCCCCAGAATCTCCGACAGAACCGGCGCGGCCCGCTGCTGTGTTCAAATCCTCCCCCAAGATATTTCAGTGGGGAGCATCTTTTTTCTCAGATATCATTGATGTGCAGTGGAGGAGCAGTGTTTTCTTTGGTGGAGCTGTGATTATTTTCTGCCATCTAGTGCATTTCTTCTGCCTAGCTCTGTATCATCGTGTGGACCTTCATTGATCAAGGGAATACATCTACCCTCTCCACGCTGATGACTACTTTTTGAACTCCATCCTTACTACACTGCACTATTTATGTGCACTTCTGGTTAGTGTGCATTGTTACCCTAGGTCACCACAATTGGGACTTTTTTATGATCACTTTTTATTGTGTCACATTTAAATTTCTAGCACTGCACTTTAAATTTTATTTTCATGTGAGGATTTTTTGGTTATCCTGTGTGCTTCAGCTGCTTGTCTATTTAAAGTGCTCACATTTTTGCTCTCTATTTTAATACTTCAGGATTGATCAATTTTCAGATATATCCCATAGTTTGTGAACGCTATAACTTTCCCTACAGACTAAATAATAAATACTGATTTGGGTTATTTTCAAAGACATGTAGCCTAAATTTATGAACAATAAGTTGCAAACTTGTATAACAAAAACATGGGTTTTTCACAATTTTCAGTCTTTTTTTGTTAATTTAGCAAAAAAATAAAAACCCCAGTGGTGATTAAATACCACCAAAAGAAAGCTCCATTGTGTGTGAACAAAATGATAAAAATTTAGTTTGAATGACAATTGCGCGGTCATGCAATACTGTACCCAAAGTGAGTGCTGAAATCTGAAAATTGGCCTGGGCAGGAAGGGTTAAAAGTGCTTGGTATTGAAGTGGTTAATGCAATGTTGGACAAAGGCTGCAACTTGTGTAGTGGAGTCATCCCAGATTATTATAATGTCATCTATATAGCGCCCATAGAAGATTAGATGACTAGCAAAAGGGTTACTGTTCCAGATGTGCTGCTGTTCCCATTGTCCCATGCTTAGATTGGCATACGTAGGGGCAAAATTAGGTCCCATGGCTGTACCATGTATTTGAAGATAGAAGTCTCCTAGGAATTCAAAATAATTGTGAGTAAAGTAATATTCTGTAGCATCTAGAATGAATTGAGCATGTCGAGGATGAAGGGATGAGTCAGTGTTAAGAAAAATATGTACGGCTTGTAGACATACCTCGTGTGGTATAGATGTATACAGGGAATTGACATCTAGAGAGCCAAAGATAGGTGGATTCCCAAGTGTAAGTTTTGAGCATTTGCCATAGATGGATGCCATCCCTGATATATGAAGGGAGGTTTTTGAACCAAGGGTTGCAGAAAATGATCTATATATTGGAAAGAAAACTGGTAACACTGCCCATGGCAGCCACTATGGGGTGTCCTGGTGGTTGTGTGGAGTTTTTTACGAATCTTTGGAAGATGATAAAAGCACGGTCTTTGGTAAAACTTTTGTTTAAGGATATTTCAGGCATATTGATAACCCCATCCTGGAATGCTTTGTCTATGAGATTATGTGCTATATTTTTGAATTGTGGTAAAGGGTCATTCTTTAGTTTTTGGTATGCGAGTGTCTGATAATTATCTCATGTATTCTTTGATGTAATCATCTCGATTTTGGATTACGATACCTCCCCCCTTATCAGCTGATTTTATGATCAAATCATGATTAAGAGTTGTTTCAATACTATGGATTCTTGGGCTGAAAAATTGGAAGCGTGGGAGATAGAACTGTTACACATATGTAGAATATCAGTGTATATGACCTAATAGAAACGTATGTAGGGACCCTTGGCTGAAATGGGATAAAAAACAGATTTGAGACGAAAATTAGTGTGTTGAATGGGTGGGAAAAAGAACAGATGTTAAGTACATTAAGATACTCATCTTCCTGGGTATATACCTGTTCTATAATCAGCCAAGATGGATTCGTTAACGGACAAGTTATCGATAATTCAAACTTGGAATCAAGAGTGGAGTTATCAGAATTACTGTTGGTTAGTGTTCATATGGGGATACAGAGGAGAGCGACTTTCAGCTTCTTCATTGAAACTCTTAAGGCCTGGCTAGTAGCTCAGGACTTGAAATTTTGAGCCCTGCCCTACATGAAGGCAAGATAGGTTTCAATGTGTGTATTGCCTCCTCACCTCCTTATACTCAAGTCCTCAATGGATCCAGTGCTGTACCCAAAAGCAGCAGCTCATTTCCTCACCCTCACAAGCTTCACTGAGGCTGCAAGAGCCACCGACTACCGCTGCTGTCAGTCAAATCCTGTGATGAAGGGTCTGAACCTTGCTGTCTTGTGTCTATAGATGCAGGGAGCGTGGCTCGGGATTGAGCATGCAAGTTTGCCGCAATGGGAAACAGCTTCCTATAGTTGCACAGATAAGTGGGAGGAGCTCAGAGCTGAAGAAGAGGATTGAGGATGCTCTGCGAAACACCACTGCACAGAACAGGCAAGTATAACAGGTTTGTTATTTTAACCACCTAAGCTCCTGGAGACTTTACCCCCTTCATGACCAGGCTGTGAAGACAGGCTGAGCTCTGCAGTCACCTTTGCAGCATCCGTTTTCTTATTCTGGTTCACAATACTGCTCAATGTCCTTTTCGTCTTTCAGTCAGTTGACCATGTGGACTGCGCTTATACTTAGAAGACAAGTGTACAATCCAAATGAATGTATTCTTGCATTAATGGCTGTGACTGATGAAGGGGTCCTGTGAGACTCTGAAACATTGCCTTGGTGAAACTATAATCATTCATTAAAACTTTTGGACCCATATTGGCGATTCTTGGTGTGCTGGTGATGTTCTGCCTTTGCTTATAAGATTACGTTTTTCCCAAAAACTATACACACTATATTGCCAAAAGTATTGGGACGCCCCTTCAAATCATTGGATTCAGGTGTTCCAATCACCTCCATGGCCACAGGTGTACAAGATCAAGCACCTAGGCATGCAGACTGCTTCTACAAACATTTGTGAAAGAATGGGTCACTCAGCTCAGTGAATTCAAATGTGGTCCCGTGATAGCTTGCCACCTGTGCAATAAGTCCGTGAACTTTCCTTGCAACAAAATATTCCACGGTCAACTGTTAGTGGTATTATAACAAAGTGGAAGCAACTGGGAACAGCAACTCAGCCATTAAGTTGTAGGCCACATAAAATGACAGCACATGCTGATGTGCACAGAAGTCACCAACTGTCTGCAGAGTCAATAACTAAAGACCTCCAAACTTCATGTGACCTTCAGATTAGTACAACAGTGTTTAGAGAGCTTCCTAGAATGGGTTTCCATGGCCAAGCAGCTGCATCCAAGCCTTACATCACCAAGTGCAATGCAAAGCGTCGGATGTAATTGTGTAAAGCACACTACCACACTGGACTCTGGAGTGACGAATCACGCTTCTCTGTCTGGCAATCTGATGGACATGGTTGGGTTTGGCAGTTGCTAGGAGAACTGTACTTGCCTGACTGAATTGTGTAAAGTCTGGTGGAGGGGGGATTATGTTGTGGGGGGTTGGGCTTGGCCCCTTAGTTCCAGTGATTCCATCAGCATACAGAGACATTTTGGATAATTTCATGCTCTCAACTTTGTGGGAACAGTTTGGGGATGGCCCCTTCCTGTTCCAACATGACTGTACACCAGTGCACAAAGCAAGGTCCATAACGACATGGATGAGCGAGTTTGGGTGGAGGAACTTGACTGGCCTGCACAGAGTCCTGACCTCAACCAGATAGAACACCTACGAGATGAATTAGAGGAGACTGCGAACCAGGTCGTCCCGTTCATTATCAGTGCCTGACCTCACAAACGCGCTTCTGGAAGAATGGTCAAACCTTCCTATAGACACCCTCCTAAACCTTGTGGACAGCCTTCCCAGAAGAGTTGAAGCTGTTATAGCTGCAAAGGACGAGCCAACTCAATATTGAACCCTACAGACCAAGACTGGGATGCCAATAAATTTCATGTGTGTGTAAAGAGACAGGCATCCCAATACTTCTGCCAATATAGTGTGTCGTCAACCTTTGATGTTGTACCTCGTGACACAGCAAACAAATTGGAAAACTTAAGTCACAGAGGCACCAGCTGAGCTGGCACCAACAATTTGCCCTCTTTGAAGCTCAGGAATAACTCCCTATTACTAGCAGCACATGCTGTGAATGACAAAAGTGAGGCTTCCTACCTAGGTGTCTCATCGCATAGCGGAAGCAAAAGAATGTTACATCACTACCGCTTTCAGCGCAAAACATGAAACTTTCACACCTGCAAATCAGGTCATGTTTCCAACCTGGCAGACGCTCCTGGAAGCTGGAAACTGCTCAGTAGACACCACTACCTCAGTGACCTCCACTTGCTTCCGGGTTCCACGCCAAACAGTTGCCTTGATGCACTGTGTACCAAGGAGGTTGGCTGCTATGCTGATAACGCTTTGCATTTTCTGAATACAAATGTTATGGATATGTTATGCTTGGATAGTGGGGAGGGGGGGGGGGTGTGTCGCTCTCCTCATCCAATCAGAAGCACTTTACATTCATTTGGAAAATGTGTGCTCAGCATGGAACCCGGAAGCAAGTGGAGATGGCTGGACTAGTGGTGTGTACTTCAGCGATTGCCAGTTTCCAGAGAGATCGGCCGTCTACAGTATACACAGTTTCAGAGGTCCAAGCTGAATAAAATGTATTTATTTCAGATACTTATATAGTGCCCGTCAATTTACGCAGCGCTTTACATATATATATTGTACATTCGCATCAGTCCCTAACCCTCAAGGGGTGTACAATCCCTAACTCACATTCATACATGGGACAATTTAGACAGAAGCCAATAAACCTAGCAGCATGTCTTTGGAGTGTGGGAGGAAACCGGGGCACCCGGAGAAAACCCACGCAGGCACAGGGAGAACATGCAAACTCCAGGCAGGAAGTGCCATAGCTGGGATTCGAACCAATGACCCTAGTACTGCGCTAGACGGAAGTGCTAACCATTTAGCCACTGTGCTGCCCATAAATAGAGCCATGCCTAACCTACCGATGCCGGGGGTTCTTCTTTAACCACTTGCCTACAGGGCACTTATACCCCCTTCTTTACCAGGCAAATTTTCAGCTTTCAGCGCTGTCGCACTTTGACTGACAATTGCGCAGTCATGCAAGATTGTACCCATATGAAATTTTTATCATTTTTTTCTCACAACTACAGCTTTCTTTTGGTGGTATTTAATCGCTGCTGGGCACTTTACTTTTTGCGCTATAAACAAAAAAAGTGCAAAAATGTGAAGAAAAGTTTGTTTCTATTATCAAAATTTTTCAAACCGGTAATTTTTCTCCTTCACTGATGTGCTTTGATGAGGCAGCACTGATAGGCAGCACTAATGAGGTGGCACAGATAGGCAGCACTGACTGGCACAGGTGGGTGGCACTGCTGGGCACAAATCAATCAGTGCCCTGATGATCGGTGCTGATCCCCGCTCTGACAACTGCCGGTTCTCGGCAGTACTTTCCTCGCGCTCTGACAGCGTGAGGAAAGCGCAGCCGAGAACCGGTAATTGCATTTGCCGGTGATCAGCGTGTCATTGGACACGGCTGATCACGTGGTAAAAAGCCGCTGTGATTGGCCTTTTACCACATCACATGATCAGCTGTGTCCGTAGGGGAGATCGCGTTCTGGGAGGAAGTCATATGACGCCTTCCCAGAACTGGCTGGCCGCAACGTAGCCGTCATTCAGCTATCTGTGGTTGGCTAGTTAATGGTCCCTAGTATGTGTGCACATGATGTGACATAGGACCTGATATTGTCCCCTCCTGGAGGGCAGGAAGTGATGTGAATGTACAGTATGTATCTGCATCAATGGTGAGCACTGTGTACATTCCTATAATAACAGGTGACATGAAATAAAGTACCAATACAGACAGAGGGCGGCCTCTATGCATACGCCTCAGCCCGGGCCTAGTCTATACACACACAAGGTCACACTGCTCGGTCCCGGGAATTAGACGTATCGGGAGTCACGTGCTTAGCGCCTCCATGATTGGAGCCGCAGTGCGGTACGTGCTGAGGGGCGGGGCCTCTTTTCGCCTCACCATTTCCCCCCAGTCACCAGGAAATCTGGTACAAAGACCTGAAGCCTGCCCTTCACAGGGCACAGTATGTCACCTACATCCACACCCCTGTATTGGCCGCTCTCACACATAGGGAAGGAGGGAGGTGTGGGGGTCACACTCACCGCCGTAGCTCACAGCCCTGGTGCAGCCTCTGCTGAGATGCATAGTACGGGGGACGGAGGCAGCGCGTGGAGCAGCCCGCAGCAGAAACTGACACATTCTCCAGGAGGCCATCCTTACAGGTCCGACCGGCTTCAGTACTGAGGAAACAACTCAATGTGAGGGGGCCGTCCTGTCTATCACCACGCCTACTTTCTATACTGACCGTACCAAGTCCCAGGCACGGGGGAGGCTCCCAGGAAAAATTCACTTCATGGAAAGGAGAGGCGAACGTTCACACTTCAAGTATTAGTGTTTCACGTAATTACTATGCTAGCACATGGCCCCGTGTCTCGTACTGTAGGTGAATAAAAAGAGTACATTGCCGGCTAATATTGGTACGAGCCTCTTCCCTTCATGCAATGGGCGCCGGCCTACGTTTGCTGGTTACACGTTCATATAATGACAGCCGCCTATCACAATGACACGGAGCGTCTAATACCCCCCCCCCCCCTACACTCCAGACACACTGGTATGGACAAAGACGATTGTTTGCAGGATGGAAGGAATAAAGCTTTTGTTTTATCCTGATGTCTGTTTCCTCCTCTTGTGCTCCTCACCAATGACAGATGGGGGTTTATTTACTAAAGCTGGAGAGTCCAAAATCAGACTCCCTTCTGCATAGAAACCAATCAGCTTCCAGGTTTCATTGCCAAAGCTTTATTGAACAAGCTGAGGTTAGAAGCTGATTGGTTTCTATGCAGAAGGGATTCTGATTTTGGACTCTCCAGCTTTAGTAAATAAACCCCGAAATGTCAAACTTGGGTTGCCAGCAGAACAAGGGTAGTGGAGAAATCTTCTACTGGGTGTGTCTATGGGACAGGAAGTGAAGGGAAATCCATTTAACCATTTGCCCTCCAGAGGATTTACCCCCTCCTTCCTGACCAGGCTATTTTTTTCCGTTGCGGCACTGCGTTATTTTAACTGACAACTGTGCGGTCATGTAACGCTGAATCCATATGAATTTATGTCATTTTTCCAACCAAAAATAGAGCTTTCTTTTGGTGGTATTTGATCACATGTGCGGTTTTTTTTTTTTGCGCTATAAAAAAAAACCTGCCAATTTTGATAAAAAAATATTTTGGACTTTTTGCTATTAAACATGTCCAGTAAAAAAATTAAAACAATCAAATTTCGTCATAAATTTAGGCCAAAATGTATTCTGCGACATGTCTTCTAAAAAAATCCCAAGACATGTAAATGAATTGGTTTACATGAAAGTTATAGCATCTACAAATGGCTCATAAAAAACGCTGCTGACACTGTACTAATGACACTGGGCAGGAAGGGGTTAATTTTTGGGGGATCAAAGGGTTAACTGTGTGCTGTGAGTGTTTTACATAGTGTGCTGTTTTATTACAGAGGCATGCTGCTTTGTATTTCTCTGCTGTGCATGTCCTTGCTGGCATAGAGAGACCTGTGCTGTTTATACAAAGGTCTTTCCCCTGTTAGCTTTACATGGCGATCGCTGGGTGCCAGTGGGGAATCTCCAGGCGGGACCCAGTGATTGACATCCCTAACTGCCAATGGTGGCGCAGGCAGCGCGGCACGCGCGTGAGTGTCTACCCGGAAATGCAAATCATGTATAGCCAAAATCCGCACGTTCCTAACCCCAGAAACCACTAAACAGCTCATCCACTCCCTCATCATATCACGACTCGACTACTGCAACTCCCTCCTCACTGGCCTGCCTCACCACAGGCTATCCCCGCTTCAGTCGATCCTGAATATGGCAGCCAGACTCATTCACCTTTCCAACCGCTCCATCTCCGCCACCCCCCTCTGCCAATCCCTCCACTGGCTTCCGATTGCGCAACGGATCAAATTCAAAATCCTAACACTGACGTACAAAGCTGTCCACCACACTGCCCCGAACTACATCACTGACCTAATATCAAAGTACCGCCCAGCACGCACACTCCGCTCCTCACAAGACCTCCTTCTCTCTAGTTCCCTTGTCTCCTCCTCCCATGCCCGCCTCCAGGACTTCTCCAGGGTGTCACCCATCCTCTGGAACTCCCTGCCCCAACCCATCAGATTATCACCTACTCTCCTCTCCTTTAGGCGCACCCTGAAAACCCATCTCTTCAGGGAAGCCTACCTCACCCCCTGCTAACTTGCCGACTGTTGGTTATGTGTTAGAGAAGACACTGGTAGTGATAGCAGAATTCAGACTTTACTTGTGTGGCTTAAGTTACAAACACACAGAGCACATTGCAGCAGACTGTATAACAGCAGACGCATTACTTCCTGAAGAGATGATAGAGAAGAAGAAAGAAGCAGCAAGTTTTACACATACACAACTAGTAACCTTTAGCGTAAGTGCCATCTACTGGTCAAGTGATATTACCACAGAATACTGTATATAGTACATTATAGTACATGCTGTTGTATTCCCAACACCCCTTCTCAACGGCATGTGCATAATTATATGACATTTAGTCTCTTTTGTAGAAAACAATGACGTTCCCTTGGCAAAGGTTTGGTGAGTGCGTCTGCAGTCATCTCCTCTGATGGGCAGTACTGGATGTCGATAACCCCTTGTTCTTGCATGTCTCTGAGCAGATGATATCTTACATCAATGTGCTTGGTTCTTGGGTTAATCTTCTCAGAGTGTGTAAGCTTTATGCATCCCTGATTGTCTTCAAAGATGGGTGTGGGTTGTGACATATTCAGTCCCATGTCTAGTAGAAGTTGACAAATCCAAATGGCTTCTTGACATGCATGTGCTGCTGCTATGTATTCCGCTTCAGTTGAAGAGAGTGCAACAGTCACTTGTTTCCGACTAGACCAGCTTATGGTTCCTTGTCCATACTGGAAGATGTAACCACTTGTAGATTTGCGGTCAGTGGTGTCTCCAGCCCAATCGGCGTCCACATATCCAATCAGTTTTGGGTTTGACGATGCTGGAAGTCGCAGCTTCATCCGATTTGTTCCCTTTAGGTATTGCATTACCCTCTTTACTGCATTCCAGTCGCGTTGAAACGGTGTTGCGACTTTCCTGCAAAGTATTCCCACTGCTAGGGCGATGTCTGGTCTTGTCACGGTGGCGATGTATAGCAATTTTCCGATTGCCTTGCGGTAATAATCATTGTTAGGTAACAAGTTTTCTGTTCCATTGTTTTTTAGATAATCTGGTTCCATTGGTGTTTTCACTTCCTTTGCATCTTGCATGTGAAACTGTTCTAACATTTCTGTAATTTTCTGACTTTGGTTAAGAAGATAGCTTCCATCCTCTTCCCGCTCTATTTGAATTCCTAGATAGTGAGTAATGTTCCCCAACTCTTTAATTTCAAAATTTTGTTTCAGTTTGTGAACTATTTGGTCATAGTCCCCTTCTTGTTCAAAACACGTCAAGATGTCATCGACGTATATTAGGATGTATGTCCATTTGTTCTCTTGATTCTTTGAATACAGACATGGATCTGCTTTACTTTTTGAGAACCCTTCTTTTCTGAGTATTTCGTTCACTTTTTCATTCCATGCTCTCGCCGCTTGCTTGAGCCCGTAGATGCTCTTTTGCAGTTTGCATACAAGGTTCTTTTCTTTCTCAAAGCCTGGTGGCTGTTCCATGTACAGATCCTCCTTAATGTCTCCATACAAAAAGGCAGTTTTGACATCTAGATGCTTTACTTGCATTCCCTTTCCGGCAGCAATACTAAGGAGTGTTCTTATGGTAGAATGTTTTACAACTGGAGCAAATGTCTCATCGTAATCTTCTCCAAATTTCTGGGAGTATCCCTTGGCAACTAATCTTGCTTTGTATCTATGGATGTTTCCTTCTGCATCATATTTTACTTTAAAAGTCCATTTGCTTCCGATGGTTTTGCGACCAGGAGGGGGAGTTCTGTTAGTGACCAAGTTTTATTTTCTTGAAGTGATTTTATTTCTTCTTCAGCTGCTTTTCTCCACTGATCTGCTTCCCTTCTCAGCAAAGTTTCTATGTCTTCCCAGGATGTAGGCTCCTGTGTTTGATGTGTTTTAGCAGCGTATGATAACCTGCGGGGTGGTATCCCTTTTGTCATTCGAGAGGATCTTCTGATTTCTTGTTGTTCAGTGGGTTCTATTGGATCGTTGATTGTAAGTTCCACTTCTTGTTCTGGCTCTTGTCCTGCTTTGCATAAAATCAGTGTCTCTTGCCGATTCAGTGTGTAAATCCTCTCCACATTTTTCAAAAATTGTATTATCTGGTGCTTCACTTTCATCAAAATAAACACTGCGGCTTACTGTGACCTTGTTGGTCTTTGGACAAAGGATTCTATATCCCTTACTCTGCTCACTGTAGCCGACCAGAATGCCTTCTATGGCTTTGTTCTCCAACTTGGAGCGTTTCTGACTTGGAATGTGGGCATATGCTTTACAGCCAAATACTCTGATGTGTCCTATGTTGGGTTTTGATCCATTCCACATTTCATATGGTGTACTCTCAATAGCTTTTGATGGGAGCCTGTTTTGTAGGTATGTTGCAGTCATTATTGCTTCTCCCCAGTATTTGTTAGGTAAGGCAGCGTCCGAAATCATACATCTGGTCATTTCTACAAGAGTGCGATTCTTTCTTTCCGCTACACCATTTTGCTCAGGAGTGTATGGTACGGTTGTTTGGTGTATAATACCTTGTTTCTTTAGTATGATTCCATCTCTTTATTCATATATCCCCTCCATTGTCAGTGCGTATTATTCCAGGTTTCCTTTGAAACTTGTTGCTTGTCATAGCTACAAACTCTTGAAATTTTTCTAATGTCTCACTTTTGTGCTTCATTAGATACGTTATTGTGTATCTGGAATAATCGTCGATGAAAGTCAGTAAATACCTGTTCCCGCCAGGTGTGATGGTTTTCATTGGTCCGCACACATCACTGTGTATCAGTTCCATGGGTTTAATGGTTTTATTCTGACTGGTCTGTGGAAGAGAGGTTCGGGTGGCCTTTGCTTTGATGCAACACGTGCACTTGCTGAGTGTGTGGCAAGGCAATATTTTCATGTCTTCTGAAAGACCTCTCTTTGCAAAGTCCTTTATAGCTTCTGGGTTTCGATGCCCCAGTCTTCTATGCCACAGGTGGATGCACTTGTCATGT